CACCTGGATATGATTTAATTATTAGCAGAATAATACAAAACATCGAAAGCAAAATCCTTCATCACTTCAACATTCAACGCAATATTGCGTCTAGGGTATTTCCCACTATCCTGCAAAATCAGATCGGATCATTCTTTATCTTCAAACACGGAAATATCCTCAAGAACCCACATCCTATAGAGTATAGATCAATTAGCTTACTACTTCATCTCTTTAAATCTTTTGAAAAACTCTTCCGCTAAAACTGTAACCAAAACTAGAAGCCTAGATACCTGAACATTTGTTTGGATTCCGAACAAAGTATTCTGTAGTTGTACGAGTTCATACGGTGGAGATCATATCAATTTGTTACAATTTACGAATCCATTTCACATCAATACAGAAAATACAGAAAAATGTATTTATTATGAAGTGGACACCAGAGGAATTGATTTTTTGGATAATCGAACTCCGGTTAATGGGAGTATTGCTGCTCTGTGCGAAATATTACAGAGAGGCGTGGCTACACTACCACATATGACGGAGAACGGTCAGGAGCTTAGCATCGACTGGGGCGGTGCCTCACTGGTGGGAGATTCTTGGTTGGGAAAACCCCGTTAGCTGACGGTAGGTCGGCGCCGGATCTCGCCATCCAGAGGGGCAACATCAACCTCACCTCCCGAGCAAAAACATGAACAACACTTACGGGACTAATGACCCACGTAGTTGACGCACCCGGAATCACTAACAATCAATCAGAGAGGCGTGGACCATTTGCGACATGGATTCAAAAAAATGTGATTAGTCTCTCGAAGTTTAGCCAATGACTTTGGCCTCGTCAGTGGTTGGAATGTTTCAGTTAAATTAATGAACAATCGTATTTAATTTAATGAACGATTCAAAACAATGAAGTACTTCCAGTGTTTCGAAATTTGTCACCTTGAGGCGCGACTCTACTAGTTCTCATCTCCTTGCCTTGAGCTGGTTCAAGTGCGGCGCATGGCTCTTCGAGTTGACCTTGTATTTGACGACTTACGGCTACCTGCTAGCGAATTATTTTGGTAGTTTGGTTACGTCATTTTAAGTGCATCGACGAAAGCAAGAGTAGGAGCTCACGATTCTTTTTCTTACGTGGTCCAGGGGGAATGTATCTCGCTTTGTGCTTTGAAAATTGCAAGTTCAAACATTTTTGGCGTCCTCTTAGAACACAGTATTGAAGATGGATTTTTCTTAATAAAATCTATTCTTTAAAGTCAGATCTTAAAAAAGATTGTGTATAATTTTTCAAAATATTTGTAGTTTTCGAGAAATGTTGCTTGTTTTCACACATCTTAAGTAAAGTATTGGCAATTTTTAATTTTTTAAAACATTGTTTCTCAAAAATGGCTCTCAATTGTTTATTTTTAAATTTTCGCCTTATATATATCAAATTACGACAAAACTTGGTGCTATTCTCCACAGAAAAATCTGAATTTTTGGAAATAACGAACTTTTAGCACTTCAAAACTACAAACTTGAAAATAGAGATTTAATATTAAACGAAATGTTCTAAAACAACAGCTCTTTAAAAAGGTCATGTACAATTTAAAAAGAATTTTTGAGTAATTTGTGCTATAAATTAATATAATTTGACCATTGACTCCAAAGAAATATACTCGTATTGTTTATTAGTATTAGATTCTTGCTGGACCACACACATATTGGCTGTGTAAGCAACACGCATTTTTTTCATCGTATTTTATTCATATTAATATCCTCTGTCACGTGGTGTAGCCATAATTCATGTTTTGTGGGTTCTTGATGGCGACAAATTGTATGTCGGCAAAACGCTTGTCCGTCTGTGTCTGTGAAAAACGCTAGTGGCTAAACCATTCAGCTAATTTTCTCCAAAATTATATTTTGCATTTGATTTGGCTGATTGATATTTCAAATTTGTCCAAATTTTCAAAACAATGGCTCCATTGTTTTTAAATACATTTTGTTATTGGTTAGTGTGAAGGGCGTTTAGGAGAGTAATTCAGGTCTCATGCTCATTAATATCCCTGATTTTTGGAAAATTGGAAAAGTTCGAAATTTTTACGTGGTCTTCCTGAAAATAAAATATTAAAGAAATATTTTCCCTTGGCGAAATCTGTTCCTTTAAAATATATTTTGAAATAAGGCCATGTACTATTTTTCGAAAATTTGAGTACTTTTCGCGTCACTTTGCATGAAAATACGAGGTAGAAGGTACGAGCTGTCTTAGCACACCAGTAGTTGATATATTAATACTTATTACAATTTCATAAATATGAAATGCACTTGCATATACAATTAGACACGCACAGCACTTCTCCCAACATTGCGAGAAATATCACGTCGAGTGAAATAAGAAACGTCATGTTGGTGTAAACAGATTTCTCAGAACTCTCCAAACATAATCCAAATAAATGTAGTGTTGAAAAAATTACATTACAAGAATGGAGCTTCTTTATGTTTTTAAAATAAATGTACTGTAAATGTCTTCTTTCAAAACCTTCCATTGTGGTATTACTTCGCTTAATCCACATCGTCGAGCAGTTTACTCACTCCTCACTTGAATAGCTCACACTCGCCAATGAGCGACTTTGTCATGTGGGCACTGTCAAGAGGGTTTACTTTGAGTGAGTGTTATAGCTGCAGTCAATAAATGTCATCCATGAATCAAAAGCCAGGATGACAATTATCGTCATATTTTAAACTTGTTTGCACTCAAGAATATAACCAAACGATTGTCTGCAATTTTATTGTCACGAATTTATTTTACGTCATACACGTCATTTGCAGCGCCTGGGAATGTCTATCTTCTGCTTTGTTTTCTACAATTAAGCTCCTCTCGGAGAGTGAGAGTGAGAGCGACAGACGGACAGAGAGAAACAGAAAGAGACACAGAGAGTAGGGAGGGAGATGGAGGGGAAGCAGGTAGTGAGAAAGAGTGGAGGGAAAGTGGGGGAGGAGAGAGAATGTAGAGAGGGAAGGAGGGACGCGGATGAATGGTGAAGAGACAGTGGGAAAGGGACACAAAAAGTCTGGATTGGGACTGGGAAAGAAGTTGGGAGAAAGAGGAAGAGAAAGAGTTGAAAAAAGGGTATTCTAATCGTACAGTAGCTATTGATAGGTTGATAGAGGATTTCCACAACATGTACAAATTCTAATCATATTATTGTAAAGCTGTAAATCTTTATAAAAACACACAATCAAAAATAATATTTTCCTTACTTAACTCATATAATACCTTCACTGGAATGTCACGTCATGTTCAGGTAATGTCATTTAACGTTTAAAATATATGCAAAGTAAACATACGAACGATAAAGTATTCTTAAAACGCATTGTCTTCTGTGCTAGTTGCACTAACAGCTTCCAAATGATCTGATTACTGAAAAAAACTCCAGCTCATTCTTATGAGTGTATCTAAGTGTTTTCCAATTTGTCTGATGATAATGCACTTTCATTCAGAACGATATCAGTAATATTATGCAATATTGTAAGTTCGGTGCATTTAATCCGAAGTATCTACTTTGCAATTGCGATTCCTTCCAATAATAATATTATCTAGTTGGACCGGACGTAAAAATTTCGCACATTCAAAGTGAACTCAATATTTTCATACTGAAACTCAAATACAAATGGCCAATTCTAAAGGCGCCAAAATATGAGTTAGAACATGTAAAATTGTTACATGAATAAATATTTTAATATTGTTAAGCACTTTTTAACAAGCAAACGAAAACTAAGTTCGAGAAAGTATGTACCATTCTGTAGCACCACTAGTTATACTCTTTTAACCTTACACTTAATGGAAATAAAATATCCTAAGAACCAGAGTCTGTTTGTAAAATTGCGAATGCAGACCTGTTTTGGAGTATCGAGCAATTTTGTCGGGCTGTGCACAATGGAAGAACACTTGTACATTGTGTATCATTGGCAGATAACACCAAGATTGCAAAGATTGATTCAATTCATTAAGCGATTTTCATGTTGTCAAGGGTAGAAGCGAGTATTATTTCACATCTACTAAAATTGCATCATCTCCCATTTCACATTTATCTTCGGGCACCCTTTTGAAGACCAGTCCTCTTGAATTATAATCGCCCGTGAACCTTACACTAGGTTATAATAAGCCCTTGCCAAGTCCGCAATCAGATATTTTCGGGGGGAGAGAATTTAGCTAATGTAGGGAAATGAAAATTTGTATTATGGTTTTATAACATTTCGTTATTTCCCTTTCACCATAGTTCAACATAGCATACTTTAATATAATTAAACAAAATACTGAATTATATAACGCTATTTAAATTTTAATTTCTTGCCTACGCTTTTATGAAGTAACGAGAATATATTGTAATGCTGCAACGGAAAGTGGCGATTTTACGTCAGTTAAACTCGTATTGTGGAGTCCTGCTATCGAAAAAGTGGATACATCTTTTTCCTCTACGTAGTAAATTATTTCTTCTAACACGTTGTGTTCGCGTTTTGTGGGAATGTGACACACTATTACACATGTAATTACATTTCGTAGGAACAAGATTTATCCACTTTTTTGTTGTGTCCTATAATATGCGAGTTCAATCGAAATATCTTTTTCCATCGCATAATTAAAATAAATTCTCTTTACTATATACGAAATAGGCGAGAAAGTAATAAAACTTTTCGAAGGGCGTGTTGAATTTTTTGAAATTGAGAATTCCAGGCTATCTATCTTTGCAAACACAAACACGCTCAAGAATTACGTATTCTTTTAAAACGACGAAAACGATAGTCACGTTGTATGTTGACGTGTTGAATTGTCGCACTGACTGTTAATAATTCTTTACATTCCGTATTTAGAACTGAAATGCAATTTATTTCGAATTTACCACACATGTTCAACTAATATTTATCTTTTTTCATTTTGCTCCACTAGCTGCAAAAATGACTCTCAAACACAACCAATTGTAAAAATTGCGACAAATTCCGTACAGACGCAGTGATGTAACTCTCATTCGGTTTTTATTACAGGCGAAAAAGAACGCTATTCACTGAGCTTCGATGCAGAAAGCGAGGTCGACGAAGACGAGGCTGGCCGCGTTGAAGAACATACCAACGACGTGAACGATGAGTGGGTTGAAAGAACGGAGGAGAAAGATGACGATGAGGAGGATGGAAACAGAGGTGAAGAAAGGAATATGAGCTACTACAGAACCTGTTGGTGGTTCGATGATTGGTTTTGGTGTCATTGAGAATGTGAAAGATGAGGAGGATGGAAACAGGGGCGAAGAAAGGAATATGAGCTACAACAGAAACTGTTGGTGGTTCGATGATTGGTTTTGGTGTCATTGAGAATGTGAAAGATGAGGAGGATGGAAACAGAGGTGAAGAAAGGAATATGAGCTACTACAGAAACTGTTGGTGGTTCGATGATTGGTTTTGGTGTCATTGAGAATGTGAAAGATGAGGATGATGGAAACAGAGGCGAAGAAAGGAATATGAGCTACAACAGAACCTGTTGGTGGTTCGATGATTGGTTTTGATGTCATTGGGATGTGAAAGCTTTTTTAAAAGTATTACCTTATTTGTTATTATTAATAAATACTTTTTTTTGAATTGTCTGTTACCCCATTTCTAATGTGAATAATCTTTGACGTAGCCATAAAAATAGAACTAACACATTTCTGTTGTAATAATTTCTGTTGAAATGTTCATAGAAACTGTAATATATCGTACAATTCGTACATTTATGCAAGTAAATATTTGCACAAGGTAACAATACTGAGTATTGCAATAGCTCTTGGATTTTCGGTCAGTATAGTAGTTAATTAATTTCGATAATTAATAACCGTGATAAAAGATGTTTACCGGTGTTATTTTTCAAATAGCTTTTGTTATCTGGACGGATTTTCTGTCATATTTTGTAAGGTTATTAATTGTCAATTAATTACAAGGACACCCTCCACGATTTGGCACCGCCTCCCTCAGCCCCTGCCTATACGCCAGCTGCGGTCCAAGTGAATGAGAGTGATGCCCACGAAGGAGGGCTTCACTCTCATCCACTTGGGCCCAGTGAAAGAGAGTGATGCCCATGCCCACGAAGACGGGCTTCATTTTTATCTATATGGAGCCAGTGGACGAGAGTGATGCCCACGCCCCATGCCCACGAAGACGGGCTTCACTCTCATCC